AAATTTAAAAGTAAGGCTTTTGTTTAAATTGACATAACTAATGTGAATTAAATATAAAACAAATTGTGACTTGCTCGAATATTGCTGATTAAGGTTTCGTAGATTTATAATAAATCCACGATCAAAATAAAAATACTATTCAATTTATAGGAAGGACGCTCTACTTCACATTCTAGATTCTCTGGTAATAGGCTTAGTTAAGTAAAGACTTCAATTTTTTTATGTTTTGAAATAAAATTATAAATTTCATCGATTGAACGTTCTATTAGAGCAAACCATTTATTTATATTTTTATTATATATAAATATTATTTCAAGAATAAGTTTTAAAAATATTTAAAAATATTTGCTTTTTAATATTTATTAATTATTTTAAAAAAATGTGAACTTAATACATAAATCTTTTCATAATAAATTCAAAATTCAATAAATTTATTATGAGACAACCAATTTAAATACTCGAATGATCTAGTCTAAATTTAATTTATAAAGCATTAATTGCGTCAGAATTTAAGAAAATTCAAATAATTATTATAAATAATAAATATATATATACATAAATATATTATAATTTATATATAATATTATAATTATAAATATAAATTTATAATTATTATCAATTTAGAATATATATATTTATATTTATAGAGAATTATTTCTTCTAGCAAAAATACTAAATAAAATAATAAAGCAAATAAATATTTAATTAATAAAAAATTGTCAGACATTATTCTTTATAGAATATTTAAAATATTAGTTTTTGTCATTTTTGTTTTTATTTTTTTGTATAATAATATTTGTAATTTAAGGTCTGTTTTAAGTATTCAAATGGATGGATATTTACGTAGAACAGTTTCAGTTGGTATTTTTAATAAGTAAATATATATATAGTCATGCAAATGTGTATGTATACATTAATATATATATATATATGTATGTATATGTAATATGAATATAAATTTATAATTTTTTTCTTTATCTTAATATAAATATTTGCAATATTTGCCTTTTATAACTTTAAAACTTAATCTCTTACTCGTTACTAGCCAGCAATGAATTTAAGTGCGATTTTATTCTCATAATTTTTTTTAGTGTACTTACACTTGAAAAATTTGGTGTATTTTCACATATGTTTGGATGCAATTTTTACTAGAATTATTTTTAAAGGTCGGCATGTATTTTGTATTTACTGTTACATATCTTTTTATTAACTAATATTTATATTCTTTTATATTCAATGAATACATATTTTAAATTTAAATAAGTGAATGAATTCCATGTGTTTCTTAAACTTTAAAATTTTTTTCTACTAATAATTCGTTCTTTTAAAATACTACATTTTAATGGAAATATTGCTTAATATCAGCTTTATTGTTTCATTACTTAGTTTTTAATAAATTTGAATAAAATTTAAAAATTTAGTGCAAATATTTTTTAAAAATTTGGGAAGTTACTTGTAAAAGTTTTAAAATTTTTTATATATGAAAATTTATCTTTAATTTTAATTGTGTACTACCGTCAATCTACATACGACTAATTCTAGACACATTTTGTTTATTTTAAACACATTTAACTTCTTTTAGAATACATTAATTTGACTAAATTATAATTCAAGCTTAACTTAGTATAAATATTATGCTAAAATATTGCACACAATTAGCTTAGCCTAAACAAAAAAATTATAGTATGAAGCACACAACAACTTTAAAACTGTACAAAGACTTATCTATTATATAGCACAAGCTTAGCAAATTTTAAATAATATTATATAATTATTTTAAACAGTACACAATTCTACAGATGAATTCAAGTAATTAACTTAAAACCAGTGTAATTTTCTTTGGTAGAATTAGAAAAGTAAAAATAAATTTTAGAGTTCACAAAAGATCTATGCATCCATTTAGATTGATTATTTATTATTAAAGTGCAGCGCTGGATGCTCTTATCAATTTACGGAAATATTTTTTTAACTAAAAATTGTAAACAAAATATGTATGTTGAAAATTCTGAACGTAATTTAGGGTTAAATTTTGATATCACAACAGACTATTATTTTAGTTAAAGTGAGCTTAGATATTCAAGGACGTCACTCCAACTTAATCTGACTTAAGATTTAAATTTACAAGTAAATTTACAATGCATTCTGTAATTCTTTAGTGCCCAATATTAAATGCTGAAAGCTTACTTGAGACAACTATTTTTTTCACTACGCTATTTTGTTGTGAAAATATCGGATTTTAGTTTTAGATATTTTTAATTAAAAATCAATAAGTAGACACGCCATCTAGCATACTAGTGTAATGAATGTAAAAAGTTTACCAACTTTACACTTCGATATCTCGAGAAGTAAGCATATAGCGTAATGAAAAAAGTTGCTCTCCACAGCTGTAACTATAAAACTGACTGTATAAGTAAAATTAATTTTAAAAAGATTTGAAGAAATAATACTTCAAATAATACGTAATATTAGATATAATATTATATAGTACCCTGATGATGACTAGAGATTAGAGTCGAAATATCGGTTTAAATAAAAATTTTTGAAAACCAAAAACAATATTTTAAAAAAGTATTATTTAACTACTGATCAATTAGTCCGTTAAAAAACAAAATTATTATTAAAAATATTTGGCCATTAAATAACAAAGCAAAGTTATAGATATATGTATATCATTTTCTCTCAACACTGACAAAATGTTTCTGTCTGACTGTTCTATCTACATATATAATGATACATAACCTTATTCATTATATTTGGTCTGATAAAATTATTTGGAATTGGGAATGATTTAATGATTTAAAATGAAATTAATTTTACTAAAATGAGTTACTAAAGTGAGTGTATATCTTTTTGTTTAGAATGAAAGAATAAAAAAATTCAATAATTATAAAAATTTAGATATTGAAGGAGCAATACAGTATAATGATCAGTTTGTTTAAATTTGTTATTGTTTTAGTAAGGTCCATATACAGTAGATGTCCAATATAACTAATACTTAATTTAATGACTGTACAATTTAGTTTAAGGAATGTCCAATTTAACGGATATATAATTTAACAAATGTTCAATTTAATAAATATCCAATTCAACAAATGTCCAATTTAATGATTATCCAATTCAATAAATGTCCAATTTAATAAATGTCCAATTCAACAAATGTACGATTTAATGAATGTCCAATTCAACAAAGGTCAAATTTAAATTTTTTTTTTCGATTTAACTAATGAACTGTCTAAAAAAACAATGCTTAAATTGGACGTGTACTATACCCATATACAACTTTTTTAAAAGAAAGTGAACTAATTTGAATTATCACTGACACTTTGTTTTATGGAGATAATTCTGATCTATATTTTTATTATTTATAATTTATTATTACAGAATAAAAAAATCTTGAATATGAATCTCATGTAGCCAATTAATTTTAATAAATCCAAATTTCAAAAGGAAATACTATAGTAAATTAAAAAAAAAATTCATTGACAACTTGTTTAATTCTTAAACGCAGCTTAATATTAAAAAAATTGAACTATTAACTACGTTGATAGATAAAAGTACAGAATTTTTGTTAAGAACTAAATAAACCAGAATATTTCAATTTTTTTTTTAAATTTAATTTAATTTAACAAAACTTATAAAAAATAATTTTTTTTTGGTTGCCAAAATCCTCTTTTAATTTAATATCGGTTGATATATATAATTTGAAAATAAGGGTTTTTTTTCAAAAATAAAATATTTATATTATTTTATGATGCTTCAGACTTTAGTGATTGTTCTGGACGGCTTTTTATTGGAAGAATTGATAACAAACAGTTTATTTTATTTCGAAAGAGTTTTGTACTGATCGGCATCTTATCTTTCAGTTGTCTTTGAAAAATTTAATGAAAACAAAAAAAAAAAAATTTCAAAATCTGTATAGAAATAGTTATCACAGAAACAAAACAATTGAATAATTAAAGTAAAAAAAATATTCTGTGTTCTAATAATAAATCTTCATACAATAGATGTTTATCTTCAACGCATATCTTCATTTCACTCCCAAAGTGTATGATTATTTGAAATATATGTTAAATTTTAAGATAGTTAAAAAAATCTTTTAACAATTAACAAATAAAATCTATTAATTTAATTAAAAATATATGAATATATATATATATATAAAAATATATAGCACTAATTCTAAATTAAAAAAAAAACACAAAATTAACTTAAGTAAATTTATTGCAAAAAAGAAACTTTACTTAAACATTAATAAATCACATAAAAGTATACTCATGAATAAATTTATTACTTGACATTTATATATATATTACAAGAAATAAAAAACTGATAAAATAAATGCGATTAAATATTACATAAAATATATATAGAATATTATCTAAAAACAGTACATAAATTATTTTAACGTTTTTACATAATTTAAAAGAAAAAAAAACACCAACATATTCTGCGGCATAAAAAATAAATAATTTCACTAAATATTAAATTAAAAAAGTTTCTTTAAAAAGAATTCGTATTAATTAGGCATCACATTATTTTAAAAGGAAACATATAAACATTAAATAAAATATACAACACATTTACTTAATGACTTAATGAGTAATTACAACTAATATTTCCATAAAATATACAATTCAATACTTAATACATATAAAGAATTAAAAAATAATGCTGGTGAATTTCAATTAAAGTTTATACAAAATATAGTTTATAATCTCTTAGAATAAATGTTATATTAACTATACATAGCGATATGCTGCACATAATTTTACTAATTTTATTTCTAAAAAAGCTCGTTTATTCTGAATTACATAGACTATCATGCTCAAGGAATTATAGTTACAAAATTATTAAATATAAAAAAAAAAATAAAATAAAATTTATTAGAAATATAATATTGTGTATTGTGTACAGCTTTAAAAGTTAGCAAATATAAAATTATGCTACCAAGAAAGTTTTAAACTTACTTTTTGAAATATAAATTAAAATCTTTACTTGCCTAATTTCATTTTATTTTAATCTATTTTATAACATAATAAAAATATCGTTAACATACACATACAATCATAAGTAATTTACTAAAACTCTTATTATATATTGCATATTACTAAGTATGAATAATTATGTTAGGAGGCTAGGGTAAGGTAAAAGCGAGTGTTACTTCTTACTCATTTGTTCCTATTAATCACTATATGCTTGCGCTGGGGGCAGGAGGCGAAGAAGAAAGGGCAATATTCTTGGCAATAACACTTTATAGTTCATTCGTTGGTTAGTACATGATGAATATAATTTTTAATAAATTGTTATTAATTTTTTTGTTTTTGTTTGTTGAATATTAACATTCTTCGTATGTTGCACGCTACTATCGGCATTTCAGTAATTCTAAAATGCCGTTGAGCGTCTATTGTATTTTTTTATATTGTTCGCACCAACATTTGTTTGTATTAAACCATTTGCTGTTGCTGTGCTGGTTGCACGCAATTTTGTGCAAGTTCTAGTTGGTGTAGCATTTGCAACACTAGTAGAAGTAGTAGTGATTGCAGCAGCAGTTAATTTTGTTGCTGTTGTTGCCACTTTTGTTGATTCTACTAATTTCATCATATTTGTTGCTTCCACTGCTGACACCAATGATGATTGCCTGCAATTAGCCCAGCGTTGCATTTGATGCGAACATTTCGGATATAATCATTTACGTCCTGAATTTGCTGTTACGGCTGTGCTCAGGGATTCAGCACGACTCTTGGAACGTGGCAGTGAAGCATCTAAGAATAAATTTTTTTTTATTTTGTATTAAAAAAATTTTAAAACTAAAAATTGTAAAACCAAAATTGCGTACCTTTTATGTTCTTTTCGGCCTTATAGGCACGCATCGCTTTACCACGCTTGTCCAATATTAATTTGTCAAATCGCACAAATATGCCATGTTTTGGTTTGCATTGAAAATACTGTATTCCCTGGACGGTGCCATCATTTTTTCCAGTAGGTGCATCCAATTCAACGCCGATCCAAGTTCCAGCTTGAAAGTGCGTTGTACCTATATAACTAATAATACCACTGGTATTATAAGGTCTAATTAGCACAGACTCCCCTACAACGACCCAATCTGGCAATGATGTCTCTATTAGTTTATGTTCATCTATAATTATAAAAAGAAACGAATATATAAATAAAGTATTACCAGGGGAATAAGTAAACAACTTTTTAAACTATATTAAATGCAATACTGTTATGTTAGTTATATTATTCGAAAATGTCTAATTGGTAAATATTATTACAACATTTGAACGTTTGGACTAAACTGCAATCAAATAGAGTAGATAAGAGTAAAAATTAACAATGTTCCCAGAAGTTCCATAGACTGTGAACACGTTACATCTTTTATGCTACAACCAACCTGAGTTGTATAGAAAGAACTCTGAATAAGGGCTAAAATTCTATCATAAATATCTACATCTTTCAAATACAGTATAATTTTGTGAACAATGAATTCAAATATTGAAGAAACAATAAATTTATTATGTTATAATATAATAAAATAATTAATTAATTTTATTATATTAAAAATGCTTTTAATAAAAATAAATGTTAATTTTTGATTAATTGAGTTTTTGGCTGACTATAAAGCTATTTCGAGTACTGTTGTCAAATACTCAGTGTTCAAATATGAATATGTTTCTTATCTTAAACATTTTAATTGTTCGACCACGAATATCCTTAAATATCTTATGCTATCTATTAAGACGCATACGCCGCAATACATATTTCGTTATTGCTATAATTATTTCATTGTTGTAAACAACATTTATTTAGACACTACGCCGCAACAAATATTTTACTCTCTCATTGTAATTAGTATTTATTTAGGCGCGTACGCCCCCATGACAAAATGTATATAAGGTACAGAAGTAGACTAAATAATGTTGTACTTTATATCTACTCATGGTGTATAAAATCATTTAATACACCCAGCATTTTGCGGATTTTTGAAAATATTTCGTATGTATAGTTATTCGCAAATAATTTTTTAGACTGCAAGTAGTAAGGGTTGAACTTATATCCAGCTAAATTTGAAGGTCAGACTTAGAGTTTATTAGCCAGCTGATCCAAAGCCCGTACTTGACTTGTATTGTTCTAACTAACAGTTTTGTTAAATCTTTCTTAAAATCAATTACCAAAAGCATTACTTTTGTTGTTGTAATTCACAACTATTCAAAAAATAGTTCTATTAAAAAAAAAGTTTTTAGTAAGAAAATAGATTCTTCCTTTATAATTAATTTTAAAAATAAAATTCATAAATACTTCTTATTAAAAAGTATAAAAAAAAATATATATATACATATTGTATATACAATATGTACATGCGAATACTAACCCTCTATTTCCATGCTATTTGTCATTAATGTGTCCAAACGATCATTGGATGTTGTCATGATACCCTCCATTTTCGCTACGGAAGCACGCATTTGTTGGTTCCTTGATGAAGTGCCATTGTTATTTCCAGCTATTGTTGATGTTACACTTTGACTCATTATATTCGCTCCACCTTGTGGTGGTGTTTTTTTCCGGCGTACAACTTTTCCTGGAGCCAACTGATCCTTTACGATTCCAGTACCAATCAGTTCACTGTTTTCATTGCCATTATGATTGTCAGTGATTTTATTATTGTTGTTATTATGATTGATGTTATTATGATTCATTTTTGCTTCATGAATGTTATTATTATTATGTTCATGTTCATGTTCAAGTTCATTCTCTGTATTAATAGCAACAACTAAATCAACATCTTTATTTGGCATTTGTTGTGTTGTGAATTCATTTTGTGCATTATTTTGTTGTTGTTCATTTGATTCTACATTAAGTATTTGGTTAACATTGCTTATTGTTGATTGATGTGCTATTGTTTCAATTTTTTGTTCATTTTCAGTTGTATTATTTGCCAGTGATTGCTTTGGTACTTCTGATTCTTGTGTTTTAGTACTGTGACGTGTGTGGTTGTTGGCGTTCTGCTTTGGCAAATCTTTCATGAATGGATTAAACCGAGCTTGTCGATTTGGTGGTGAATTCGAATTTATACGATCAAAATCTGAAATACATACATAAAAATTTAAATAATCATTTATTATGAATAAAAAAAATATACACATTATGTTATTGATAGTACGGATAATTGTGATTTAAGGGTCAAGTATTCTTACAACTGTGAAATTTTTATTTTTATGTAATAATGTAAAAAAATTACCATTTATAAGTTGTACAGGCATTAAATATTATATTTATTATAATATTACCATTTATTATACATATTATAAAATTGAATTTACATTGAAATCAAATTATTAGGTGAAGTGGAAATAGGATCTAATTCTCCCCAATTACTTAAGTAAACAACATTCCTTCGTTTTGATTCCGCATTTCTCGTAATTGTGGATAGAAAGTTAGGCATATTAGAACTAGTCGGACGTATTAATAAATTTAAGTATCTGGCCAACACTGCATATAATGTTGAAAATATCACTGAGTGATTAAAAAATGAAATGCTCAAAAATTTAAGCTTGATTCTGAATAAACCTGGACAAATCAATAAAAGGTATTTCAGTGTTTCTTTCTCAAGCACCAGTACAGGATGTTCTATAAAAGTTTTTGGTATAACCAGTCCGTTCTGATTCAATACCTTTCTATAGTCCGGTTAGACAGTTGAAGCTATTACCTAATAATTTGACAACATTTGTGGACTATTCTGAACGTAGTCAAATTACATACAGATGCCTACATATCATTGAATCTTCTCATCTTTTATTCAGATTATCAGATATTGTATATAATTTGGTTAGAATACACTTACCAGGTGTTTCATCTATGCTCATAGAACGCATTGAAGCAATATCATCATTAGTTAGATTGCTACAGGATACAGCCTATTAAATAGAAAAAAAATTAATTTGATTGTTGTTAATATTTCTATGTTCCTTTTTACCTGTGATCCATAACCACTTGATGTAGATGAACTCATACTTGGTGTAGCTAATCCAGTCAAATGTTTCATATTTGCATTGGCACTTGATGTATAGCTTACATAATTGTTTTGATTATTAGAATGGTTGCTCAGATCCATAAATGAATCCATAGTTTTCGATGACGTGAGACGAGACCTAGCATTGTAGTTGTTACGTAGATTTTTTTCCTGTTCATAGTCGGCTGCATATTCTGAATCGCTGCAGCTATCTTCATTTTCTTCAGCTAATGAACGGTTTCCACCGAGAGGTTCTTCATGGAGTGTTGTCATTCGCATGCCCATTAATTTCGTAGTAGCCGGTGAAGCTATGTTTATAAAAATATTAATATATTAATACAGCGTATAGAGATAATGATTTATTATAAAATATATAAAATTTATTTTAATGTAGTTTAAAATTACACCTACGTTTTGTTGGTTGATTTCTCAAAGTATTTAAATTTAAATTAAGATTTAAGAATGTGGGTCGAGCTGCATTCCAAATATTTGAAAAGAAGTATTAATTTACAAGATAAATATGTTTTCAAAATATATATTCATATTTATTTATGTAGAACTAACACTATTTTTAAATTTTATTTAATTATTATTTTTAACTAAGGATAACAGCAACGGAAACAAAAATTCAGCTGCAAACTTTTAAACTATATCGGTTTAAATCTATGTGATTTATTTTCTAATACAAGTGGAATGATTTCCATGATAACGCTTGTGATTAGGATTTTACCAAATTTTATTAAGTGTTCTTAGAAAATATAAAATAAATATTTTATTAATATTTATCGTATCATTATTCTTGTTTTCATTTAAAAATTAAAATTTGGTAAAATGCTTTTAAATAATTTGTGTTGATATGTTAAAATGTTAACTAAAAGCAAGCAGAAAGCATTATCAAAACATTCTTGGTGCGGGAATAACGATTGATTCTAATATTAACAAAACTAAAACTTATGGCAAAAAGTATTTGGTTCCTTTATTCTAACTCTCAATACTTATGCATATAAGTTTTAGTCAATAACTAGAATTTTTACAATAATTAAGCTATTGGTGAAACACACAAACATACAACATATTGATTCTACATGTTCAATTTGATTGTATATATGACTGACTGTTAGAATGATTTGTAATGCATATGTTATATATATTCTTCAGTTGCATGAGGTGTAGTTTTTGTTTGAGAGATAATTTGTATAGGAGAGTTTGAAAATTTGTACATATTTTAACTGCTATGTTGTTAACATTTTTATACATAAGTTTACCTAATTCTTACATATTTTACATAGATAAGTAATATATAATATATATATATATGTATTTATTTAATAATTTTGTAATATTGCATATTATTAATATATGCTTTATATTGTATTATATTTTATACTATATACATATATTCACTTCAGCAATACTACAGAAATACTAGAGTTTTCTTTTATACCTACACATAACATCAAAATACTTATAATATAATATAACAATTATTTAAATATTTAAATTCGGATTTTCTCTTCACAGAGTATACTAATAAATACAGCTATGTTGAATAACTTATTCCAGTACGCTATATATTAAATTGATCTTTAATATAGGTTTTTATTGAACCTATAATTAATTGAATTTTTGGCTAACCATATAGCTGTTTTGAGTATTGCTAAATATCCATAATTAGTGATCTTGGAATTATGTCTTATATTTAATTATTCGAAAATAATTTTTCGAGACTGCAAGTACCAAGGATTGAACTCGTACCCTGCTAAATTTATAGCTCAGAGTCAGTTTTCATTAGCGAATTGACCTAAAGCCGTACTTGAGTTCTATGGTCGAACTTGGAGTTTGTTTTGTTAATTTGCTGTGAAAGTTCATTAACAAATTTACTTATATGGTTATATTAGAACAATATCATAAATCTCTTTATAATTAAATTAAATACTATTCATTATTAAATACTATTCTTTTTGTAGAGGCATTATTTATTGCATGATTTTGTTACTCTTTGTTGAGTATAGAACCAAATTTAGGAATGTAATACATAATTATAATATCATTTACAGAAGTATTATTGGATTTTAATTCTATATTTTACTCAATATATATTATATATAAAAGAAGTATATATTTAAATATATTCATATATAAAATTAAATCATATCTATGTACTATTAAGTAATATATGCTTTACTAATTCACTATATATTTATAGAATGATTTATCTGCGGTGTTGAAGGTTGTATTCCACGTAGATGACAACCACTTCCAGTAACCCAATGTGTTTTGCATGCAAGAACATATAACTATTTTGAGGCAGCCAAAAAGGCAAGCGCAAAACTTAAGCTGATTGAGTTTTGTGGAACTCTGGATGCTATTAAGGTTACTCTTTTGAGTTGTTATCTGCGCGGGGCATGACTGTAAATAATTTGTAGTTTTTTTCGATCAATGTTTATATTACAATGCACGCATTTATGTTTTTATTGTCAGTTGGAAAAATATGAAGTGTTTTTACTGCATCTCTGTCTGTATTTCTTTATGAAATGATGAAATCAATGATTACAGTTTTGAAATTACAACACAACTAACATGAATAATTAAGTTAGAAAAATAAACTAAAATAGAAAATAATTTTAAGGAAATTATACGTATAGAAACTACCACGGTAAGTGAGGCATAGCAATGTCAGGTTAAAATTTAATATTGGAAACTCAATTTTAATGGATATCATATAGATTAAAAAATTATAAACAATATATTTTTACAAGTAGAAAAGTGTTCAGTAAGAGAAAGTGTCGATGGAATTTTTAACCATTTAAAAATTATAAAATAAATTGTATTATAAAATTATACTTTTAAAAAAATTCTCAAAAAATCGTTAATATTTTTAACAAAATATACATATTCAACTAAAATTATATTAAAAAAATAATAATAATAATAACATTTTAGTAATTTACAAATAAAATCAATCATTAAAAACTTGATGCTTTTTAATTATTTTTCAGAATGATTTTTCTTGATTTTTACCTGACAAAATTGAGCCTGGAATTTATTACACGTAGGAGAAGAAGTTCGTTTTTGTTTTTACGTACAATTCATTTTGTAAAAAGTACACATATAACACAAAGTATAGGGTGATTTTAAACGTTAGTTATTTAGTTGAAGTAATATTTTTTAGTTTTATATAATTTTGAAATAGTTGGTATTAATTGTGTTTTATTCAAATTTGTTTCAGAAGTAGTTGTTGTTGTAGAAGTACATAGTAGTTGTGTAAAACATAAGAATTATAGTAAAAAGTTAGTAAAAATTATAAAGTGAAAATAGTTTTTAAAATTTTTAAAAAGAAACAACAATAAAAAATAAAATAGAATGATTTAACATATATAGAAAGTATGACATACATAACTTATAATATATATATTTTTAATATATAGAGATTTTATGAAAACTGCATATTTATTTATTCGCAATAAAACGTGAAGGATGATTTTGCACATTTTTATGCTCCGTTTCTAAATTGTGTGTTTAAAAAAATTCGCTTTAAGCTTAGTTTTGCAAAAGCCTTAATAAAATTCTTATAAGAGCGTGTCAAAAAACTTTAAATAATATTTTGCATAATTAAAAGTTGAGCTATTCGAATGGCTCATTATGCTAATTTAATAATTAAGCAACACGAGCCAAAAATTATTAAAAATTGTCAAAAAAATCGAGGGATAGGTGCAGATGATAATGATAATTCTATACCAGCAAATATTATTTTGATAAATATATTATTTTCTTCTGTAGTTGTGTTTTTTTAATTATAACATATAAAAATAATAAGCAATTTGGTAGTTTATTTTTGTCTGTCTATATATCGCAATGCAAAGTACATATATGTTTTAAATTGCAGTTATTGCTTTTCTGGTATTGAATCATCAGAAGGATTGTGTTAGGATAGGTAAAGAGTCTTGCAAAAACGTAATAAAATAGGATATATTATAATTGGAATAATAAAAGATGGGAACTAAAACTAATTTATATACTATAAGTAATATATAAAATAACAAATTTGTTTATTTTTGAAAATATTACTTATTAATTGTTATTACGAAAAAAATATAAAAAATGGACTATAAGATCTAAATTACAAAATATTTTACTTCAAATATTTTTTACTATATGTGTATATTTTTTTTCTTAATTTATAAGTTACTGATATGAAGTACAGTATAAAAATTTTAAAGTACTTTAAAACAGAAATGTCCATTACTTTTTAATAAGCGTGTAAAGCCAATACGTAAAAGAAAATATTAACTTATTAATATGTTAATTTCTAAAAAATAACACTCATCCACATTTAAATTTGATATAGAGCCCAAAAAACATTTGGTATTACAATAAAATATATTGTGTAGTAGTATTGTTGTTAGAGCCCGACAAGATCTATAAAGCTGATGACATGAAAGGAATTACAAATTCCTTCATATACACACAATTGGGTTAGAATATATAAGGGTATTATTTAGGAGTAAGCATGAATTGTAGGGATGAATGTAATCTTTATTGAACCAATATCAACAGAGAGAAATCTAGTCGCTTTTATGGAGCTGGTCAAAAGATCGATTAGAGTCTAGTTTTTGTGTGCGTTGTGGCACTAAAACAGGTCATACATTGCGGATTGATGATAAATAGCTGTCTAACACATGACTATATCCTGATATCAATTGAGCTGAGACAGTTTTTCCTGGGAGATATTAGGCAACAGCTTTCGTAAAGTGCACTTTTAACCTTGAAATGTTGAAAGTATATTGCATCTTTGTGGAGTAGTCTTAGTCTTTTTCTGCTATTGATATAAAAAAGGAGATTAATGATTGCTATAGTGCAAGGGTAATATTACTTAAGAAAACGATTGCCCATAATTAATATTAAAAATATTTTTAAATATTGTAGTAAGAGTTCTGTGCGCCAAAATTGCTTTTTCGTGTTTTCTCTTTAATGTCTTTGGACTGACATTGCATCACCATAGCAGTATCAGTATGACAGTATCATATATCTTTATATGTTCCAATCAATCTTCTAAACTATATAACACGTCACAAAAATAAATATATTAAAATTGGTGTGGGTTGAGCATTTCTGTTTTAAAGTATTTCAAAAATGTTCACAAAGACTTTTATAAAAATATACTAACTAATCGTATTATAACTAAAAACTGAATTTAGTAAATTCTACTGATATAGTTCTGATATAATTGAATACATTGTCTTTTACGAAGTATGGAATTTTACTCGATTTAACTAATTATATACTAAACATTTTTTTAAACAATATAAAAAAATTGAAATATTAAAATCTTTACTTCAAAATAAATTAAAATAATTTATAAATTAATATATTGCCTTTTTCAATATAAATAAAAATAAACTAATAAAATTGTTGAGTACAATTTTTTTAATATAAAAATACAAAATAATAATATGCACTATATTGAAACAGAACGTACCTATGCCAAATGGTTTGCCTGGTGATTCATCATTACTTCCTTTACCACCAAAACTGTGACGTGTACGTACACTGAAATCGCGTAATCCTGGTTGACCTAAACAAAATAGTTATATTTTATAAAATATTTTTATTTAAAGTATATTAATTTATATCTAACCTGTTTGGAATTTATTTCCTAATGACTGTCTTGACAGGTCTGATGGATTATTAATATCTGCAAATGATTCAGAACGTCCAACGTTTAATAACGATTCCATGGACGCATCGAAACGCATTATCTATATTAAAAATTTTAAGTATTAATTACACGTTTTAAAATTTAGTTTTTAATATAAATTTTTAACAACATTTGTGAAACACAACATAGTAATATAACATATAAATTAAAAAGAAATTGTTTTGAATAGAAAAGTTAACTAATACATATAGTACATGTGGATTTTATTCACGTATATTACACTGAAAAATTCTTCAAGGAAAATCAAGCATTTTTATTATATACGTTTTTAAGAAACGGATCTAATAAAAACTTTAATATGAATTTGCCATTTTAATGTAAACACTTTATAAATTTTCAATTCAAATTAGACATTGTTGTGATTTCCGAGCCGCCAGAATTTGACGTTAAGTTTTGGTTAGGTTATTCTTCATCACTATATATAAGTTTAGATCTACCATAATAAAATCATATTGAAATAAAAGGCTAAGGAATGGCGTGAACATGGTGAATCATCGGCGAATCAAAATTCGGCATATGAATGGCGCGAAGGGAGCTACAGGATATTTAAACAAATATGGCATCGCTGCCCCCAAAAAATATATATTAGCTTTTGGAGATATTCTTGTTTATCTTATTGCCAGTGTCGCATACTAACGCCCACTAACTTTTTTTTGTTAATCACCAAATTCAATATAAATAGTTACATTTTTTTAAACTGAACTAATCATATGCATTATAAGCTATATCAAAATATTAAATAATAATATATAAACACTATTTCACATACCTCAACATATTTTTTCGTGGAAAACGATTCTCTGCATATAAAGAGGTAATAATAAAGAGCTATTTTGCAGACCTTCCGGAGAATGACTACAGAAATGGGATCTATAAATGGAGGGATTGTTGGAATAACTCATAATAAATTGTTTGTGAAATTTCTAAGAACTACTATAGAGATTGGATCCATGTTTGTAGGATCGTTTAACTAATAAATAATTAATTCTTATATTTAAGAATTATTCTAATATTATAAATTTTATTATTTATTAATAAACTGAATATTTGGTTGGCAGCGGTTTTTTGGAAATATTTCTGGACTGCAAGGGTTGAATTCAGATAAGAATTAAATTAATTAAAAAACAATAAAGTTTTGTGGTTATAATTCATTACTGTTAAAAATATCTCTCTATTAAAATAATATTATCTATTAAGAAACATGGTTTCTTTCGTGACTTTATTCTCGTCAAATTTAAAAATTATTCTAGAGTCGTGAACTAATCGAACAACAGTTTCTGTATATATATTGTATATATGCTTTTCCCGACATTTTTTTTAAATTATTTTTTTTTTTTTGGATTCTTGAAATATTTTTCAGTGTTACGATATAGAAAGATTAACACAGCAAATTAAAATTTGTATAATAAACTATTTTATTAAATTAAAATTTTGAAATAAAATCCACTCATTCAACATGAAGTGGCAGCTATGAAACATTTTCAACAATTTTTTCAATATACTTACACTTCCAGTATTTGTTGTTTCTTTAACTGCCTGTGAAGTTAATTTTTGTGTAGAGTGCAAACGACGTTCGAATTTGATTTTTTATTTTTGAATTTGAATTTGAATTTTGACAATTTTTTTGTGAATATATGAAAAATTTTGTTAGAAATGTTAGTGGCATGAAAAAGACAAATTTTAGTTTCGTGAGAACGAGAACACACAGTAAATATTTTTGGTGAAAGCACAAAGAAAGTGAAAAAGAATTTTTTTTAAAGTTTTGTTAAATACACGATGTTTTGTAATTATTAAAATATGTAAATTTAGAATGAATTGAAAAGCTTGTGAGACAGCATAAAATGTGTTATCAAATAAATAAAACAATACAATATATACTTATATATATAAATCTGACCTGTGAGAAGTTTGGTACACTGACTGTCTTGCGCATTGAAAGTGGCTGACCATGCGCTGTTTCCAGTTCCTTTACAGCAACATTTTGCCGCAGACGATCTAATGTCAATATACTTTCAACAGCTGAAACCCCACGAGTGTACTTTTCTACAATAAACAGAAATAAAAATATTTAGTAAATAAAATACAATCATAAATTAACAATTAAATTATGCTTACCAATATATGTTTCACCATCACAAGCGGAGCAATCATCACCACTAGCCGCTAATTGCGCTAATGATTCACGATCTTCCAATTCTTCAGACGCTTTCGGTATATTAGAAACAACTTCATATGTGACACCAGTTTGTGAAATAGCATTTTCACCACGTCCCAAACGAAATTTCTTTAGACGATCTGCTATACTTTGTCCTTTTTTAATATTAATACTTAAACGTTTGCGCAACACTAAATCCATTGGTGCAGGATGTGATAGTCGCACTGTTGTACGTAATATTAAGTAGACACGTTCATTTGCTTCTGTAACTCTATTTAAAGCTTGATTATCGTGCATCGATGAGTCCCAGCTAGCAACGGAGCACACATCCTTATCCAAATGGGAAAGTATTTGTAGTGTATAGAATTTATGTCCGTGCTCTTTAGACAATATGGAATTAAGACCCGCTGTTGAAAATTCATCGTTCATATTTTGTGCTGATAAGTCATCAGCATTTAGGTTAAGAAACAGTACAGGTACATGTGGTTCCATGCCAGCTGGTGGATCCCAAGAAGCTGGTGCACCAGGTATACCTGATCCTGGCGCTGGCACGAGCACAGCATTACGTTCTTCTGTTAGTGAAACCCATTGATGTACCAGACTAAGTTCACGTTCACGTTCTTCTTCACTTTTTTCCTCCTTTTTAATTAGTTTTTGTATTTGTTGGTCTAAATATTGTCGTCTTCTGCCTAAGGCTTCACTCCATTTCTCGCGCAGCACAGTAAGATCTTCTTCTTGGTACGAATCTAAAGCGCGTTGTAAACGTGAGCGCACTGTTACACTACCAATATCGATATTAACAACAGATTGGCAAATAATTGGCAGAGTACCAGAGTTTTGTACAGGTTTCACTCTTACATGTACACGACGTTGTTGACCTTGCCGCAACTGATAAATACCACCAGTGAGTACTTCATTACGATTTGTTACCTCTACTGGTGAATATTCACCATTATCATTTAATTCATGAATTTCAATCCATAACTCAATTTTGCGTGATAATTCAGCCCATCGATCGACAAGTGAACGTGCTTTTGCTTGCTGTTGTTCTACTTCCCAGCCTTTGGATTTCGAGAAACCAGCACTGCGATGACCCCATACTTCTATCGATAAAGCACCCTCAATGCAATGTTCTAAAAATTCTTCATTTATGGTTACTGTAAAATCTTTGACATGTTCAAACTTAAAAATCATATTTTGATCATGTGCTGGTACTTCAGCATTTATAACTGGCACAACTGTTTCTTGATGGCCCCAAAAGGTATATTGACAGAATACAAAATTTGATAAGGAAAGTGGCAAGCCTGACGCACACTTTATTGAGACGCGACAAGTAATTTGATTTGCCATTGGATCAACAACATCATCATAATCATCACGTGAATCAGAAGACGATTCCGAAATTGATTCACACATACGATCCTGTGGCATTTGACCAGCAATGCGTTGTATTTCAACTTGAAGTCGACCAGCAACTTCGCCTTGTTGACTTATAATAGGAGTATGATAATCTAGTTTAACGTCATGAAATAGTACTTCCAAAAATATGTTAGCAACGCCAATAAGATTATGATTTTCTTGAGACTCGTAGAAAGGATCAAGGGATTTTGAATTTTCACTATCCTGTAAATAAAATTAATTTAATTATTAACGGAGTACAAATTAAATTGCCATTAAAATGTTTTATTTGTATATATATAAATGATACATATGAATAATTGAATATAATTACCTCGTCACAATCTTCATCATCGGAGAAAGTCTCAATTAGAGGCTTTGGTATATCGTAAGCAATGCAAAAATGAGGTTGAAAATTATGTTAGTAAGACGTGTAAACAATAATATGCGTAAAAGTGAAGTTAAGTGAGTTTTTACAACAATAAATGTACTTCTAAACGTATCAACAATTAAATATACTTACCAAACCATTTAGTATTCTTTCTTTATGATCTTGATACATTTCTCGCATATCAATTAGTTTGTTTTCCAATTTTTCCATGGTCCAAATTTGACTACCAGAGTTAATACGTTTAACCAAAATTGCTGGTTCACTCACAAATGCACCACGCTGTTACAGATTTAAGAGTTATTCATTTTATTAATTAAAGTATATGTTATTTTTAAATATATTACCCTTCGATTTGGACTTAAATTTGCAGGAGGAATTTGCAAAGTTACTGAAAACTTTGTTTTCTTTTCCATTTCTTCAGCTAAAAAGTTTGCTTCTTGCACCGAAGCATTTGCACGCATTATATCATTTTTGAGTTGACCCAAAGAACGTTTGAACATTTCATCACGTTCCTGAAAAATTTATTTATACGAATTCGAATTTATAAAACAATATTGAATAAATATTACCTGTGCCCACTTTTCAACACGCATTTGAGAAGTTGGAGTGTTTGGTGTAATTTTGCCTAAACGCAGCGGATCACAAGGAGTATATGGTGCATAAGGTGTGGTTGGTGAGAGTATGTTGCGTAGTTGTTGAAATTGTCTCTCATATTCCTAAACAAAATTAAACACGTTAATACATATACATGTATTTTTTCTTAATATATTGCTTTACGTACTTGTCTTTGCTTTTCTAAAGCAACTTGTTTGTCTTCTTCATGTTGTCTTTCTAAGCGTGCTATAGCTGTTTGTATGGGATCATTGCTAAGTTCATTTTGCATTATTTCATCTCTTGCAAAATTATAATCAATTAATTGTGCTGGTGTCTGCGGCTCAGAGGTCATATTAGCATTTGCGCATTTTGGACAATTTACACGGAAAAAATGATGATTACCCCATAATATACGGTCACCGTTGTGTAAAGGTGTTTTTTCCAACACTGCAGAACCATTTACAAAACAACGTGCGCCCTGTATAGGATCCATCAACAAACCACCATCTTCGATTGTTATCACACAGTGCTCTGGCTGTATACCTAATCCAGATAATTGTATATCGGGTTGTGGGCCAGATATGCTATGGCCGCCAATTAAAGTACGTTCCTGCATTTAAATAAAATAAATGAATTATTTTTGTTCCTTTTTTTTTTTTTCATATTTCATATATAAACCTACCTTAAGATAATAAACTAACAACTCATTGAGGGACGGATCAGCATTCAAATTTACTAAATAATATTTATTTTTCTCTACTTTAATACCACTCGCTTGTACACTAATTCCCATTTTCTCCAAAGCCTGTTGACGTTCGTTTTGTATACGTTCAGTTTTGACCAGTTTTTCTTCCCAGGTTTGTGAAATTTGTTTCATGAGATTTTCACTTTCAGCGAGTTTGTCATGTATATCAACACGTTGCACATCACCAACTGGAGAACCTGTAGCATGTTTAAGCATATTACGCAAAGTTTCCACTTCAAGTCTGAGTTCTCGTATAATGCGGGCATTTGGATCCTCATTGACGACAGCGTGATTGACAATACGTTTAGCACGATCAGCATAACGCAATGTCGATAACGTTTCTTCATAATTATCTCCTGAGGGCGAAATTGTGGCAACCATAACTGTTTTTGAGTTTCCACCCAAATTGTCTTTGAGAAGCCACGTTAGTACAGAGTCGCGGTAAGGTACAAATTTATCATTGCTGCCTTTTTTACCACTCGATTGATCGGCTAATTTTGAAATGACTAAACCTAAGGTGGTTAAAGATCTGCAAAGAGAAATTGTATATTTATAATTTACAATATAATACAAAATTTTGTTTAGAAATAAATGAAACTTTAATTACTTGTTAATATTAGAGCCTTCTTTTAAACGTTCTCCTACAGCGCCTGTTTTGACAGCACGTTCTGAACCAGCTAAATCTACCAAGGACATACGTGATACCTTTTCACCACTCACTCCAGCTGCTTGATCTGTAAGTATTTGTGTCAGCACCACAGAGAATACTGCATGTGAGCGCGAAGATTCCGCATTCATATTTGTGGCAGCTACAGTACGTGATTTATTGCCTTCAGTCATCAAATTATCAATGTCCTTTAATATATAACAAAATTATTAGTTATTTTGTATATAAATATATAGTTAAATATATACTAAATATAAATATAAACAAAAATATATATTTAAATATAAATATATATATAACATAAATATAATATAATATATATATATTATAAATATATATACAAATATAAATAAAAATTAAAATATATAATATATGATATAAATCTAAATAAAAATATAAATTTAGTTATAAATATGTACATAATTCACATACATATAACTAAGAATTCGTATTTACCTTATAAGATGTAACTGCAAGTTGTGAGAGACCATCAACATAGGGTCCAAGCACATTATGTTCACGCACCTTAAGCGATTGTTTATTTGGTTTTGGATCAAGTAAATCGTGTACTTTTTCATTGTAAATTTCCATATAGGAGACTTCAACTTTACACATGAGATCTTGTGTTGTTTTATTGGCAATAGCCAAAAACAGTTCATCACAGAGACGTGGAATTATGCCTTTAGATTCTTGTGTACCCATCATGGTGTAGGATTTACCAGAACCTATAATAGATAAAGAAAAATAAATTAATTACGCCCATAGTTGGTTACTCTCTTTTTTTTTTTAATTTTGTACTTATAATTCACAATATAACAATTTCATTTCCGGCACTCAATAATAATAATGATTCATCAAAAGCTATAATGCAAAATATTAAGTAACATGCTTTAATACTTTCCTGTCTGTCCATAGGCAAATATACAGGCGTTGTAACCTTGGAATGCATTATCAAGTATATCACGTCCTACGCAATCGAATACTGTTTCTTGTGAGGCAAAATTACCATCATCAGGATTTAGTGAATAGAAACAATGGTCGAATGCAAATGTCTTTGGATTTTTTCTATAATGATTGAAAAATGAATAAAAAAAATTATAATACAAAAGAAGAATAATAAATTACAATATTAAATTGCTTATATATACTTTTATATGAAAGTGTATATATAACACAAGTATACGCATATAAAGTAGAAATTAAATTTTTATATTTTAAATTGAAATAGGAAAGACGGATTTTAATCGATATGACATTTTGTCTTGAATTTAATATAAAATCTGCATATTTACATACCTATCCATTTTATCCAGTGATGGTTGGTTCTGTAATATAGTCTGCTGTTTGTCCATATCGACAATACATTTTGTTCCAAGTTCCATTTCTGTAAACATGAAATATATTGTTTAATAAAATTTTATTTGAGAAAATAACACATAATATATCTATTAATACATCTATAATTAAAATACTAAGAACTTAAAGTATGAAGTATTATATATTAAGAAGAGAAAAAAGCTTTATTTAAAATTTTATTTTAAAGCTATAATGAAGTTATGTGACTATAAGTTTAAATAATTAACTCCTCGGATTAATGATGGTTTAATTTATTTTCTAGTAGGAAATATCAACACAATAAATTAAAATGCCATTTTTCAAAGTTATAATTCCAAATAGACTTACTATACAGCCTATTTCAATGACGTAATATAGTCTAAAATCTGACTTCTGTATGAATTAAGCCAATATAATAGATACTTTATTGTAAGCATGACTTAAGTCAGTATTAAGAATTAAGTTACCACTGTAAAATCGGTCCTTGATGTTCCATATTCTTACCACATTTGCAAAAGCAAATTAATATTATACAAGATGCATTTTAAAGTAGAAACAGCTTTAATATATAAGAACAAAAAATAGATTTTTTCGGTAAAACCCATCCATTTTATCCATTTTTATTAATCTCCCTTTTGATTAAATACAATGATGTGAATGCACGATCTGAAAGCATATTGGATGAGTTTTTTAGATCGTTGGACATCATGTCGGTCAGGATATCGGTACAAGCCTTTTAATCGGTCGTACGCACATAAAGATGTTTCCTTTTGATGGAGAATACAATTTTTGAAGTGGTTAAAGTAGTAAGATGCTTAATCAAGTGCATACGTGAAAGGGTTACAAATTAAAGGAAATCTGTATAAAATTGGTTCATCAATTGCAACGTTGCGGTAAAAATTTGAGAAGATTAAAACAAAACTTAATATGAATATAAGCCTTTTATTCTATGAACATTTTTGTACCTATAATACAAACATGAATCATTCAAATGTTATGAAATTTTGAAAGTACATCAGTTAAGAATCTACTTTACCGACCCATTTTATTGCTAAAATTGCTGTTACGGTTCAGCTTAATTCATTGCATTTTGTGGATTCTAATTTTTTTCATTTCTTTGCGATTAAACTTCATCGGAAGTCTTAAATGGTATTTAATCTTCGAAGAGACTTCTTCTCTTAATTCTTAATGGATTACCTTTGTGAAACTACATTACTGTGTTTAAGTTTAGTTATGACAAAATTATCTATTTGGTAAAATTAAGTATAGCAAAAATAAAACATGTATCTACTCCAAAATAAGTTAGGTTTGAAAAAGAAACTATAAGAAACTTGAAAACAAGAACTGACCATTTATATACTAATAGGTATTGTTTAATTTTTTTTTGAACTTTTAAGATTCGAAGGAAACACGAAACTAATAAAGTTTATATATACTACATTCATACTTTTGATTTTTATATTTGAAAATGAAAATATCAGGATTCAGGAATATAATAAATTTAAAAAAATATCTATATAGAGTATTGTGTTAATATCACTGAATTTTTGGTGTGAAATATACATGGATGGAAACTTATAAAAAAAGGTAATTAAAAATTAAACATGATACATTGAATTATATAAATGGCTCTAACAAATTGTATTCATATTAATCACGAAATAACTTCTTCAAATCATTCATATAAGCAGTCAAAGTCAGAGTTCTAGCTACTAGCATTCAAAAAGCTAAAACATATAAATAAAAAAGTGCCGATTAACAGCACTATATATGAAAAGAAGATATAAATGCTAAACACAAGAAAATCCACAGATTATCACAGGTGCAAGAAACATCTTAATGAACATTTTCAATAACAAGAAGTCCATTTTGTTGTTTCAAAGAATCAACCTTTGTAAGACGATTGTCTTAATTATATGACATTCTAACCTTTAGTTTACAAGTTAGAATGGTTTTTATGAAACAATTTTTATATTCAAAATAAAATAGAAAAGTTTTTGATATGTTAATTAAATGTTGCTTTTTGCCAGAAGAATATATAAAGCGAAAGATTAGCTTTATAGATTCTGCCTTTGCCTTAGGAAAAAAATTATCACTTCATATGAGGACAAGAGAAAACAGTGTATAACGTCTTTTTATTATGGTAATAAAATTCCATATAATATATTTTCAATATATATAAATTACACTCATAAAAATTCATTTTATATAAAAATAAAATAGGCACAACTTTTTATTGGTTGAAATATGATACGATAAAATATTGTATTGAAATTGAGGCTTATCGAAAAATTATCTAATATTATCTACAGACTGACGGTATCTGAACGTATTATTTAATATTTATTTTTTTTTTTAAGTAAAAGTTAAGATAAGTTTAGTAAATTGTTTGATAAGAAGATGAAAAATGTTTACTTAACGTTTACGAAGCAAACGTTTAAAGCAATTTTTTATTATGAAAGTAAATGTATTTATAGAGATAAACATAATTTTAATTAATTACATTACATAACATATAATATTTGTCTATGTATTTTATTTGTAGCGCATATGCATTTGAAAACGAAACTTTGTTGTGAAAAATATTTTGACAACTCTTTTAAAAGAAATAAGAAAAATAAAACAGAGGAAAATTAGGAAAATAGATAATATAACTGGTAATAGTGTTTTCTACATTGATAAGCTTTATATTATATGAGATACATATATGGAGATAGCTATATGAGTGTTAAATGAATCAGTTCATGTCAACCAATTAAAGTACTGACATAATTTCCCCATAACTTCACTTCTATTACTGTTTAAATTGAACTAGCTGCAGTTGTTGTCAACCTATGCCAGTTCCCAGCTATCTAGTAAGCAGATCGGACCATGGTATTACAGGCAAGTTAATGATGATAAATTATTTATCTAAAGGTTTAAGGTGTAGAGTTGTATTTTAGGCACAAATTAGAAATATATTATTTCTAATAAGCAATTGTTCAGAAGGTTACAACCTGACGTAAATTGGACCATAATAGTTCTTGTTGTTCAAAGGAATGGTCTTGTCAATTTAGGAATAGTAGACGAAGGCTTGTAGAAAAACGAAATGCTAAGCTAGGTATCAGTGTGTAGGGCGGAAACCCTTTGTTAGTACTCTATGCTAGATGTAGTTTTTTCGTTACATTAATTTTTTATGTGTGCATAAAGCAAATATATTGATTGATTCAATGGAACTGTAAGTGTTGACGTGACAGTTGGGTCCATTTATGTAGTACTCTAAGAGCAGTTTTTTAACAGTAGCTGATTATTTGTGTTCTAGGAGCGGCTGAAATAATGCAACAAAACCAAGTCCCAGTTTTAATTTTCTTTGAGATTCGGCTGCATATGTAGTATAGAATATGTTATATATAAAATGAAAATTATTAACTGGATAGACTTTATTTTAGAACTCAAGGGTACTGTGATATGATTGCCTCTTTTTTTTAACACGAAAGAGAGAAAGAGAGATTTAATACAGGATATTTTTCATCAATAAATTTTTTTATTTCAGATGCTGTATTAGATGATATGTCTGGTGTTAATACAGTGTAGACTAGTGGAACAAGATAAATCATGGTTAGAAGCAAATAGCAACGAATAAATGAAATTGCAACACAAAGAAAATGAGTTGACTGGACAGTACCAATGAAGTGCCTAGTAAAATACGATGTCTCTAATTGACGATACTTGTCGAAAAATATAACAAGTTAGAGGCAAATATGGTATATATAAGTTCATTAAACCTCCAAAAAATAAATGCCTCTATTTGATGTTACTTGGCGATGGATAAAACAAGATAAAAAGAAATATAATGGATATATTTAAGACTTGATTTTGACTGTTGTCACATCGATGCTTAATAAATATCGCATGTACAATAGAGTAATAGTATGTTTCTACTGGTTTCGTTAGGCCAGTTAACTTACTTGAGATTACTTGAATTACTTGAATATCTCAAGTAAGTTAATTGGTTTAACGAAGTCAGTGGAAACGTACTATAAGATATATTATTGCGAGATCATTTATATTCAATATATTACACTAAAAGATTACAACCTTTATAATCACTTTTTTATAATAAAAAAATTTATATAAAATTTTAATTTGTTGAATTTTCGACAAAAAATATTGTGAAAATATAATGGTGGAATATACGTGGATAATATACACATGTTATATGGTAATAGGAATATGACGGAATGAAAGAGCGGTAAGAACTTAAATACGTATATCATGTCTTATCATTGACATATAAAAAATTGATAAAATTATGTGTCACAATTTAGGTAATTTCTCGACCAATAAATTTAAGTATTTGGTAATTACGAGTATACTATATACGTTCGTTATAAATAGTTCTAGTATTTGCTAATTATAGCAGTTTAATGAATGATACTAAGATATTTAATAAATCCACATAGTTTTTGTTAAATATGGAGTATAAAAGCCCAATTTATATTATTTTGTAATGAAATGGCAGTTTAATGAATCATACTAAGATGTTTAATAAAGCCATATAGTTTTCTGTTCAACTTAGAGTACAATAAAATGATTATAATTGAATAAATGTTATTTAATTTAGGTAATATTAAACTTTGTTTCTAATGATGTTCCTTTCTTGATAATGGTTTAATTTTGTCCTTTTTAATGTGGACAAGGCACCCTGGTAATCAATTTATGTCTGCCTCTGTTATGTGAGGTTATTCTAATACAACTCTAAATAACCCTATAAATTTCGAGTGTAAAAGTTCCCCTTTTAAATAGTACCTTGCAGAAGTATTCAAGAAATTATAGCGATATAAAAATATCCCACATTTATATAACACTTAAAGTGTGAAAAAAATTTTCCTGCTGTTGTAATTCTATGCAGTGTAGCAAAAAAAAATATATATAGGTATATATGAAAATATATAACAATTTCCTGGCACATGCACTGCGGAGATATTTATGAATTGCAGTTAAGTAGAGGGAATTGTTTTTTTTTTCTTTCAAGAATGTTGCAAAGGTCTTTAGTACTTGTATTTATAA